AAAAAAAATCCAAAACCTAGGGTCAAGGAATTCTCATACATGATAGACTTCATGGCTGAACTCTTCCTTTCCACTCTAACAGCTTGGTTATTTGTAATATTTTATCCATGAAAATGTAGACACCTTCCACTAGTTCTCCTCTCTCCCCCACCTTCTTTATGTGTTGTTTCCCCCTATTAGAAACCATTTTGTTTTATTGGATTTTATTCCCAGCTTTTATACAATGTCTGTCACAAGTAAATATTTAAGAAATGTTCTGTTTGCCTTTTTATCTTTTTATCTGTCTGTCTGCCTAGGTAGATAGATAGATAGACAAACAGACAGATAGACATATGTATATGTGGATATATAGATATATCTAGCTCTTATACAATGTCTGTCACAAGTAAATATTTAACAAATGTTCTGTTTGCCTTTTTATCTTTTTATCTGTCTGTCTGCCTAGATAGATAGATAGATAGACAGATAGACATATGTATATGTGGATGTATAGATATATCTAGCTATCTCTATAGCTTCCCCTAAAGTAGTACTGCAGGACTTCATCATGACATGAAAATAATGTGAAATTTGCAAAAATTAGTCCAGCAAAATACAAGCTCTGTCAACTCCTACCAAGCTAGAAAGTCCTGGAAACTTAAACTGTTTGCAGAAAGACTAGGGCTGTATCCCAGGGCACTGAGATGCAGAGGGAACAAACATCTCACACATGCACTCTTACATCTGCAGCCTCTATAGTGACTAACTTCCCTTCATTCAGCTGAATTAATTTTTCTTTCATCTTGTATTCTTTTCATATCATCAATTACAAAGTTGATTTGAGGGCCATCTGTGCTGCTTGTCCTGCTGCCTCATGCCTGCATGTCTCTCATATGGGGACCAGCTTATCTAAGTTCAGAGAAGCTCGCCATCAGAAGTATGGCCAGCAGGTGATGAATTTCCTTGACTACAAAAAATAATAAATTTAGAGAATGTAGAAAGATTGTAATCTGCATCATTGGAAGGAATCCCTGTACCACTGAAACTAAAGCTTTCTTGAAATAGTAAAGTACTGATATATTTATGATCTGCTGTCCTTATTGTTTAGCATTTGTTAAATACTGATCATGTGTCCTGTGATGTACAGAATAACCCACTGTCCCATGGTTCAAATCCTAAAGGAAGTAAACTATCCACCACCTCAAAGTAAACCTAGAAATAAAACCTACTGAAGATACAAAGCTCATGATAGAGAAGCGTATTCTGATAAAGATTATAAGTTACTGCTGGAAGATGAGGCTTTCACATCAGAATCATTTCCTCCATGTCACTATTTCTGAAACACATTTCATGGTTCTCTGCCTAGAGTTTACCTCCCTGTCAAAATGTGTTATGATTTGTATCCCCTGGGGTACTTGACATTACCTCTAACCCCTTACTCTGCAATCTCAGATACTCTAAGAAATTGAAATATTCGCCCTCCTTCTCTACTAGTCTTTGAGGACAGTAAGCAGTGAGGAGGAAATGTCTTCTTAAAATTCTAGAGAAAAACATTTTAAGGGAGTTAATCTTAGTTCATTCTCAGCTGTGGCTATTGGGGCTTTTGCCAGTGAGGCCTGATGCCATGCTTTTTTAAAAATTCGGTCATTTAGTTTTGTAAGCAGTTTCTAACATCTTAGAAGAATTGAAAAGCTGTGTGCCTTTTTTGTAATCCACAGGTCTAAAAAGCTATGAGATTGCTACACAATGGACGGTCAGCTTCTTTCATTCTGGGAGATAAAAGGAATGAACGAATGAATGAGTATTTACGTGCTTACTGTGTATCAGGCTCTATACTAAACTCTGGGACTGCAAATACAAAAGCTTTCATTCTAATAAGAGAATACAGCATAAAAGTATATAAGGGAGTGGTCACCAGGGATGGGTATTTTGTTCTAAAAAGTCCCAGAGGTGATATGTAGAACTATAGGACAGTTAATTAACATGACCTTTCCTGAAGAATGTCCAAAACTGGAAGCTCTGAGTTCTATTAAATTCAGCAAACATTAATTAAAGAGCTGTTGTTTGTAAGGCCATGTGCTAGGTGCTAGAGATAGAAAAATGAAAAATGACAATAGTCTTTTCCCCTTGAGGAGCTTACAATATAATGGAGGGATAAGGAATGTACACGAATTGCTATTATACTAAGCATAAGGGCAAGGGAAAGGTCAACACAAGAGCTATACAAATTTGAGGAGCTGGAGAAATGAGTGATAGCTGCAGGATTTGGGGACAGTTAGATGATATTGAAGAGATAAAATACAGGTAGATGGCTATCCCTCTTTCTCTAAAAGGGGATTGTACGCCCTTTATTCTAGGGATTCCTCTCATTGCCGGACTTGTCGGTAATCTGTAAGAAAGGTGATACGGTCAGATTTACAGAGTTACCCTTGCCATTTAGGTTTTGAGGGCCTTCTCTTTCAACATGGAAACTGTCTTTCTGTCAGAAAGCATGATTGTTCTTTCTCTGCATCTGACTTTAAGGGAAGGCATGTGGTTAGAAATTCCATTTCTGTCAGAACCAGATTCACTTTAGTTTGATTGCTTATTGGAAACTGAAGTTAAATGATATAAGGCAGAGAGATTGGTTAATATGGTCTCAGTCCTCAAATGATTGCCGCCGGCCTCCTTCCCCCCCCCCCCTTATCGGCTGGTCCTTCCCCATAACACTCTTCTCTAGGAATTCCTTCCCTCTCATTGGCCAGGGACCTCTACACATATTTACACAAGCTTGCGGATGTTGGTTAACCTTGAGCTATTTCCCATCCCAATATTATTGTTGTTGTTCATAATAAGTAAGAGAAAGGACTGTGTGTTCCATTTGTATCTCTACCTAGCATAGCATAGTTACTTAACGTTGTTTTCAGTTGGAGAAGGAAGAGAAGGAAAACAATTTAATCAATCAACAAGGCACTAACCTGAGACCTGGAGGTAGAAACACAAAAGTGAAAGCCTTTTCCCTCAGAGAGTTTACTGTACCTTTGTAGAGCATCTTGCAATTTCTATTCCAAAAAATATAAGCTCCTCGAGGGCAGGGACCGTTTTGCTAATGTTGATGTATCTCCAGTGTCTAGCATAGTTCTTGTACTTTGGAGAGGGCTAGGGAGGGGTTAGGAAGGTGCCTTGGATTGGGACTTGTGAGTTTGCTGGTGTACAGAACTCATACTCTTAGAAATTAGCACTCCCCTGCACTTTATAGCCTTAAATTGCCAGGGGCTCTGAGAATCAGATTGTGAGGTGTTCAGGGTCACACTGTCAGTGTGTGTCTGTGGTAGGACTTGAAACCAGGTCTACCCAACAAGGGTGGTGTTCTGTTCACTATACAATACTAAGCTGTCTCCTACTTTTTCACATAGTAGATGCCTAATAAATGTGAATTTAAACTTATAAAGCTTTCTTATTGATGTATGTTACTTCAGCTGATCCTCACAATAATCCCATGAGGTAGGCAGAAATGTTATTTTCTCCACCTTACAGTTGAAGAATCTAAAGGTCATAGTGGCTAAGGAACTTACTCAAGGTTACATAGATATCACATACCAGAGCTGGGACTAAAATTGCCTTCCTTCTAAGATTGCCTCTTCTTTACACTGTACCTGTCTTACATGTACATAGTTACTTGAATGCAGTCTCCTTCATCAGAATATAAGCTTGTTGAAGGCAGAAACTGTTTTTGCCTTTCTTTGTGCACTTAGCACATAGTAAGCATTAATAAATGCTTATTGATTTGACTTACTGACCTGGATCTACTGATTCCATACCCAGCAACCTTTTCACAATATCATGCTGTAGGTGATGGGTGGCATTTGATTTCCCCCTTTCCTAGCTACTGAGCTAAAACCACTATTTACAGGTTCAGAAATAAAAGAAGAAAATGCCTTCTAAACTCAAGTGAGGACTCAGATAGTTACTGTCATCTTAATGTATAGTTATCTCTTCTACATTGTGACTTTCCCCATCGCAGTGTCAATATTTTGCAGGTTGGCTTAAGACATTAAATGGAAATTTGGGGGGAGTTTTACAGAAGCTGCAGATGACATGTCAGCAGACAACACAGAAAAAGTTTAGAAACTCAGAAATGCATAAACTATATGTATAGCATTGTATAATATCAACCTATTTTATCTTTTAATGCCATAATAATTCATACTTTTATGGTACAAAGGGAAGGCCAAAAAATTTCATGCACATTTTCCAGATTGAGGGAGCACCGAACCCCTGACTTCCAATATGTGGAAGAGATAACTATATGCTGTGCTCTGTGCCTGCAGACAAGCACCTGAACAGTTAATTGCCAGTGTTTCATGGCTGAGTAATTTTTTTTTAATGCTTTTTGCCTCATTGGTTTACAGTCTATGTAACACCATAATTGAACTCTGAGCTGAACTTGAATGAATGAAAGGGAAAGGCTTGTTAATGAGGAATAGATTCTTGATGGTGCTTCCAGCTGCAGATGAGGCAAAGGAAGGGGAGGGGGATGAGGAGGGGCCACTAGAGGGTGTAGACTACTCATGTTTTGCCTTCCTAATCCCAAACTAAATAGCCAGCCTCTGGTGAAGTGGTGATGAGGGTTTATACCTCTTCCTACCCTCTAGGTACATTCCAGGCCCAGAAGGACTGTCAGGATCGGGGTGGAGAGTTACTCCTTTGACATTCATTTACAATGTTTATCAGATCATAGATCTGAAACAGGAAGGAAACAAAGAAGTCATCTAGTCCAACCCCCTGAAAGGAGTCCGAAGGCTTCACCAGATTGCCAGAGGGATCCATGACACATACAAAAATTAAGACCTAAACCTAGGTAAGAGTTGTAGCGGGAAGGGTGAGGCAAACTAGCAGTGAGGTATAGGAAGGTTCTCTTCTGTCCAAGCCTAGAAGACGTTGCTGATTCTCTCTCCCATGTGCAAAGAAGAAATTTCCCCCCATGTCTTAATGCAAATGTAATCAGACTCTACTAAGAATTCCTCTCATTTTCTCACTAGGTGCCAGTCTACTAGATGACCTAAAGCGGTATTTCTCTTTTCATCATTCCCAAGGAGATACCATGACAGCTCTGGATCCCACGCAAATGAATTACTCAGCCGCCGTTTGGGCTGTTGTCTCCTATGTCATTGCTGACCTAGATGAGATGTTGCCCAGGTAATCAGAAGAACGAGGAAGAAGGCACATTCTTTCCAGAATCCAGTATTCCACAGCAGCAAGAGCTCTCTTCTCTGTCCAATAGGTTGATTTGGTTTTTGTTGCTTGACTTCAAAGCACACTTTTACCTTCTGGCACAATGTTTCTCAACTCTTTTCTAATTCTCCCATTTTAGTAGCAAGACTAAAATCTTTATTGCCAGTGTTTTATTGTTGTTCAAGTATAGCATTTTCTTACACTTATAAGGAAAATTGTTTCCTTGATGAAAGTAAATACTTGAATAAATCTGTTCCTTTTGCAAGAATAATATGCATTGTGTGTTTGTTCAAGGGGATTCTGTTTTGTGTTTTAGGATTAGATGGGAGAGGTACTACACAATTCTGACACTCCAGTTGTAAGAACACATTCAAGACCCGCTCACCTTCAAAAAAATACAGTTTCATCAAGTGATAGGCAACTTTCCTGCGTAACTTCCAAGAAATTAAAACTAGGGTCCACTATTTGAAATCTCACTCCTGAGAATCTCAGTATAGCAACAAATCAATCAATTAATTAACAAGCCTTTATTAAATAGCTGTTATGTACCAGGCACTGTGCTAGGTACTGGGGTTATAAATACAAAGAATGATACAACTCCCTACTCACAACTGAACCACACAGAAAAGAATCGGAGAATTATATTACCTCTAGAATTTTAAGGGATCTCAAAGGGCATCCAGCCCAACTCATTTCTGCACAAAAATCTTCTCTTTAGTCTCTCCAGTAGCCGTCCTTCAGCTTTTGCTTAAATGCAGGGAACTCCTGCCTCTGGAGGCACCCATTCTTCTTTGGGCTAGCTTAAACTGTGAGGTTGTTGTGAGGATCAGAAAGCAACAGCATAATGCCCACTACATAGTAGGTACCTACTAAATGCTTATTGCCTCCACTGATATGAATCCTCAGTCTGCCTCCCTCAAGCTTTCCCTCATTGTTCCTAACCGTGCTCACTCAGGTCAAACAGAACGAAGCTGATCCCACCACACAGCTGCCAAAGTGATATTCCTACAGCATGGCTCTGACCTTGACCCTCCCCTCCTCAAAACGCTCTTGCTTCTAGAGTCAATTACAGACTCTCCTTTATTAGGCTTTCAAAGTCCTTCACAATCCAATTCCAGGCTAATTGCACACTAATCTCCTCCATGCACTCTGTGTTCCAAACAAACTGGACTGTGTGCCGTTCCTTGTACATGTGATTCTGTGACTCTGGATACACTCTCACCAATGCCTGGAATGCAGTCCTCCCTCACTGTACTTCATAGAGTCTTTGGCTTCCTTCGGTGCCCAGCTTAAATATCATGTCTAGCTCTATAAGGAGCTTATCTTGAGGCACAGCTGTTCACCCTCACCCCAGAAATTAATTGCATATAGAGAAGGGGTTTCATCCCATGGAACATATGCAAAGCTCACCCAACAACTTTTGAGATATGCATGGCTCATCATTGAAGGGTCTGGCATTTAACATGACCAAGCAATCCCTTTATTGACCACTGAATAGAAAGAGCCACTGACTTGGTAGACCTTAGAAAGGAGTGACTTCCCCTCTGCATCACTCTTTCTCTCTCTCTGCCTTCTGATCATGTGAGAATTATTTGAACCTCTCCCTAGAGGAGTGGAAAAAGGGGCTGCTGCTTTTCCTCAGCCCTGGTAGCAAGGTGACTGCTCCCATGGGACAGCCAAAGTAGGGGCTCAGCCTGGGCCTCTGGCTGCCTCTTCTGCTTTGTGTTTCTTTACTTGACTGTAGGTGCCTGAACAGCAATCCTGAGATGAACCTTCTGGAGGTGGCTACCTTAGTGGCTTGGGGATTCCTGGATTCTTAAGTCAGTGCCCACTCTACTTTAGGAGGAAGCCCTGGCAACCACCCTGGTACTTCTTGGAGAAAGTAAGTACTAGCAGAAGGATAAGCCCAAACCCCTACCCTGGCTTGCCAGAAGACATAGACCTAGAGGGAACAGTTTGGATGTAGGGACTGGTGAAAACCGCTCTGATTGGTATGGCTCCCCACTCGTAGGATGCAGGTATACAAAGGCTAACAAACCCAGAGAATGAGTGTTAACCTTTTCAGCATCCTTCTCAGATGGTACCATTAGGGTTAAATTCCTTACTTCCCTATTTTTCATTCCTGCTTCCCTGCTCCTCATTCCTCCCTCCTTATTAGATAATTTAGAGAATATTTTCACTTTACTAGTCTTATAGATAAAAGGTCATTTCCCAGTGGTATCATACTGGCTCTTTATGTCAACTATATATAAATTTATATGCGTTTTAGGCCTTTGACTAGAGCATGGACACTTCCGTTCTTCTTCCCCCCAGTTCCAGACCGCCACAACCTTCCACACTCCACTCCCATGTGCATACCCACTACAGGCATGGAGGTCACCCACTGAGACTGTCCCTGCTAGCAGCTGCTTTCCTCCCCTTGTGAGTAGCAGTAAAGTGGGTTAAACAATACCTGTAAGGGCAAACACTTTTCATTGAGACTCCCTTGCATCGTAACACAGTTCCAGATCCACATAACTTACTTTCATCCAGCTCTCCACGCTATGTTGTCCACAGTGATGGTGTGAAAGACATTTTCAGATATTTTTCTGAAGTCCATGTATACTACACCTACAGCAAGTCTCCGAGTAACCAGTCTAAGAACCCATTCACTAAAGGCAACTCAATTCAATTCAAAAAACTTTTATTAAGCTCCACTATGTGCAGGGGTTTCAAAGGCAAACATGAAAGTCTTTGGCTTCCAGAGCTTTGAGTCTCCTAAGGCTACCGCATGAACACAAAGTAGGAAATACCAAGTCTATATATAACATAAATGCAAAGTAATTTTAGGTGGATCAGAAAGTGCCAATAACTGGGCATTGGTAGGCAAGACATCTGATAAAAGATGGCACCAGATCTTGATAAACCCATACTAGTTGCTAGTAATTGTTTTCCTTCCTAGAGGTCACTAGGTGATGCAGTATGTAGAGCATTGGGCCTGCAGTTAGGAAGATCTGAGTTAAATCCATCTTCACACACTTGCCAACTGTATGACCCTGGGCACGTCACGTAATCTCTGTTTGTCTCAGTTTCTTCAGCTGTAACATGGAGATAGTAATAGCACCTACGTCACAGGGTTATTGTGAAAATCAAATGAGATAAATGTGTAAAGTGCCTAGCACAGAGTAGGGCAGCTAGGTAGCCCAATGGATAGAGCACTGGGCTGGGAATCAGGAAGACATCTTCCTGAGTTCAAATCCAGCCTCAGATACTTACTAGCTGTGTGACCCTGAGCAAGTCACTTAACCCTGTTTGTCTCAGTTTCCTCACTTGTAAAATGAGCAGGAGAAGGAAGTGGCAAATCATTCCAGTATCTTTGCCAAGAAAACATCAAATGGGCTCCCACAGAGTCCAACGTGACTGAAAAATGACTCAACAACTAGCACATAGTAGGGGCTCAATAAATGTTTGTTTCCTTCTTATGTGCTAGCTCGGTGTCTTATAGTTTTGAAAATTCACCCTTTTCCATTTCCTTTGAAAATTGTCGTGGCACAGTGGATAGAGCACTGGCCCTGGAGTCAGGAGGACCTGAGTTCAAATCTGGCCTCAGACACTTACTAGCTGTGTGACCCTGGGCAAGTCACTTAACCCCAATTGCCTTACCAAAAAAAAAGAAAAGAAAAAGTAAAATTGTCACAATATTCACCCACTTGAATCCTGAGACACATATTATGCTTTCCATCGTTTTTCAAAGATTATGAACAGGGGTTAGGCAAACACATCTTCAAGTTCTTTCATGATCTAAGGTTTGATGACTTCAGCTCCTCAAGGGCAGCTCAGAACTTCTTTATCTTAGGTTTCACTTTCATGTTGACTATTCTTGTGCTATTTCACCTAAGCTGAAGATTATTCTCCTCTCAAGACAAATGGGAAATAAAATGAGTTGAGTAGTTAGTTATGTCTTCTCTCCATCATTTGTTATTATAGGCACATTCACCCCTGGCAGCAGCTCTAGCCCTTATTGGATCTTTCTCTAGTGGCCAAAATATATACCCCTCCCCCACAAAAAATTCCCAACTGTTTTTATCCTTAGCATCCATCACCAGCCTTAGCTCATTCTGAACTTTGAAATTCCTGACCATGTTTTTGTAGAGTCATGACATCTTCTCATAGTCATCCCAGGTACCTGAGCCTATTTTGATTATCTCTATATACCTTTTAAAAATGTAGGCTGTGCAATGAGTTCCTTATACATCCACAATGCATCCAAGATTAGAAGGTAAGCAAAAAGCTGAGAAACGATTTTTACAGAAATGATTAAGGCCTCATTTCTAAAATATATAGAGAACTGAGTTAAATTTATAAGAATACAAGTCATTCCCCCAATTAATAAATGGTCAAAGGATATAGACAGGCAGTTTTCAGATGAAGAAATTGAAGCTATCTATAGTCATATAAAAAAAATGCTCTAAATCAGTATTGAATAGAGAAATGCAAATTAAAACAACTCTGAATTACCACCTCACACCTATCAGATTGGCTAATATGACAACAAAGGAAAATGATAAACGTTGGAGAAGATGTGGGAAAATTGGAACACTAATGCATTGTTGATGAAGTTGTGAACTGATCCAACCATTCTGGAGGGAAATTTGGAACTATGCCCAAAGGGCTATAAAATTGTCCATACCCTTTGATCCAGCAATACCACTACTAGGTCTGTATCCCAAAGAGATCATAAAAACAGGAAGAGGACTCACATGTACAAAAATATTTACAGCAGCTCTTTTTGTGGTGGCAAAGAATTAGAAATTGAGTGGATGCACATCAATTAGGGAATGGCTGAATAAATGGTATATGAATGTAATGGAATACCATTTTTCTACAAGAAATGATGAGCGTGCAGATTTCAGAAAAGCTGGAAAGATTTACATGAACTGATGCTGAGTGAAATGAGCAGAACCATAACACTGTACACAGTAACAGCAATATTGTGTGATGACCAACTTTGATAAACTTGGCTTTTCTCAGCAATACAATGATCTAAGAAAATTTCAAAAGACTCATGATGGAAAATACTATCCACATCCAGAGAAAGAACTATGGAGATTGAATTGTAGATTGAAGCATGCTCTCTCTTTTCATTTTTGTTTTTTTTTGTTTTGTTTCTTCTTTCTCGTGGTTTTCCCCTTTTGTTCTGAGTCTTCTTTCACAACATGAATAATGGGGAAATATGTACATGCATAGCCTATATCATATTGCATGCCATCTTGGGGAGGGGGTAGAGGAGAG